TTTACTTAGAATTAATATCAATTTTGCTTGTTATCATGCGGAAACGTTCTTCGTTTCAATATATATACATATATATATATTTACATTTTGGAGAAACTTCAAGTTACGATTTGAATTTAACTCTTTCTGTAATTTCTCCGTAGCAGTCTCATCCACATCTCCGAATATTAATTACCGACACTTTAATGTCTTCAACATTTTTTAATGACTCCACTAGAGAAATATCTACTGATTCTAATTTCTGAAGATAACGAAGATAGTATTTTCTTCGTGTGTATTGATCCGGGAGGTCTTGTATATGTCTCCAGAAAACCTTTAAAAGTTGGATTTGCAACTTTTTCGTGCGGTGCATTTGCTCCTACTACTACATGTTTACATGAAAAGTGAATTTGTTACAGGCTTCAGTGTTGCCTCAGTAACAAAAGTGTGCACTAAGTGTGACAGTTTCTTTGCTTTCTTTAGCTTTGTCACTATGAGACGTAGCTGCAAGGTGCTGGTCCACTTGAAACTTTTTAGAACATTTATTAGGCATAAATGAATTCAACTTATATAAAGATACACACTTCTTGAGAAGAGTTTTATACTTTTGCTACAAATTACCGTGCTTTGAAATCAATTTTATTAAAATTTTGATGCAAATTACCTTCAGATTTAATTTAAGACAAGCGTACCCTTCTAATGTATTTAGCTAAACGTTCAGTTCGAACTATGGGAATAGAAATTACACTGGATACAAACACACTGGACTCGAATTTGAGATTTGATCGTAGAAATCAGGTTTAGTACGTACTTGTTTTGACGTACTAGTTTCTCTTCTTGATAAAAATATTATTTTTACAGACTCAGCCATGCTTCTAACACTTCAAACGAAATTAAAAGAAAAAAAAGAAATACTCCAAGGTTTACAATTTTTTCAATAACATTAAAAATAATACAAGGAAAATTCTGAAAGTCGAGAATGTTTGAAAGAATGTTTGGAAAGAATATGCATTCTACGACATACAATAATTATTTAAAATCAATGCGCCACACAGTTTGTACTAAACAATTTCTTCAACCTCAAAAATCTCAAAATAATTATTTTACTTCAATAAATATTGAAGTTTTGTTTTTCGTTTCATATTTATTTCATTGATTTGGTTTTATCCTTTTCTGAGTTTCAGTATTTCACTTTCTGCAACAACATTAGACTTCAGTCCTAAACATGTCGACTACGAAAACTTCGCCAGTAGATATATTTTTTTATTGATCAATTTTTAGTGTAGCCTACTTATTGCTTTATTACAGCAAGTGCAATTAATCATATTTCTATGCGTCCTCCAGAAATCATTGTTTCCTATTCTTTGTTTGGGAAGTAGTGCACAGAAAGCTCCACAAGAGTTTATAGTTAATTCCACAACAAGCCATTTTATAGTTAACTGCACAATTAAAAAACATTTTTGCATGCAAACATACTGAGAGCCTGCTGTTGATTATTAACCTCTCCCATTGTCGTTTACCTAATGAAATTGAGTTTTGGATTAGTGTATCTTTCGTATCCTTTGCGACGTATCAAATTGATAATTCTTTTCGAGATCGTCGTTCCCCGCGTCCTCGTGTCGTCGCTAACCCAAGCAGTGCACCGGGAGGTCAAAATGTGTAGTATAACAATAAGCATATACTATTATCACGAAGATCAATATACTATTGATACAACATATGCGTCACTTTTAATATTCACAAATTCTGTACAGAAATAATAAAAAAGTACTTGATGTGCTGGATAGAGGTTTAAATATACAGTATTAATTTTAAAAAACGCCCTAACATGTATCATGCAGGGATTTCTCTAAAAAATCACCCAAACTGCAAATATGCACGGAAAAAGTATGCATTTTTTAAATGAGTTTTTCATGAAACATGTATTTACAAAGTTTGAAATCTGTATGAAGCTTAAATAAAAACATGCATTTGCATGGAAATCCTGTCTCTAGTCATAATATAAAATGAATGTCTACACTAAACGACATTGTTCTAAAGCGAAAAGAAAAAATGACATTTCATTAAAATCCGCCTCCTAGTCATTACTACAAAGTGGTTTTCCACCATTTTGCATATTTTTGTATGTTTGCTTCAAGACATTGCTAAGTGCAATTTCTTGACATTTTGTTACAATTGGATGCTATGTAGATTAATATCTTAGTGCATATTTGTGCGTATTTCGCCGATTTTTTCCGGTTTGTTCATATTTGTATAGCAATAGGCGCATATCTTGCATATTTCGTTAAAAAAGAGACAGTTGCTTTCAAAATTGAACGTACACCTTTACTGTACACCTTTAATGATATCGTAATTCTTTTCATGCTATTATTTCTAGAAATAAAATATATAATTTTGATATTTGAGGTTTCCTGAAAGAACTAGTGCATTTTGAAAGCAGAACATTGCTTTATTAAGTGTAAAATTAAATATTTTCTGTGATACCAACAAAATAAGTGTTGCAAAGATATGAACGTACACCATCAGAAGCGCGCTTTGAAACGTAGCCGTTGAAATGATTTCTTGGGTACGAAGTTGTAAAAACAGATTAGTTGATGGTCAGATTTGAGGAAATCATCATCGAATTGAAAATGGTCCCGAGAAGGCAAAACTTTGTTAGAGCAAAGACTTATTATGAATTTAGCCATGCGGGGAAGATCACTACGAGGTATTGTATTGGCAATGAGAAGACCTCATTCAACTATTCAAGGTATGGAATACCGATTCAAGTACGATTAGTTAATAAAATAGGCTGTGGCCAAAATCCGATACTCAACGAACGAGATAAAAGCAAGATTATCAATAACATCAGCAGGAATCCTCGCCAAAGTGTCGTTAGAATGACTCCGTGAGTGTTTTCAACAACAGGGAGAACTGTATCCTCAGGAACTGTCCGAAAGGCATTATGAGGCGCAGGTTGCATCGGGAGAGTAGCGAAGAAGAAGCCCTGGGTTAGCAAGGGAAATCTGAACAACATACTGCAGTTCGCGAAATATCACAGAAACCGCCCTGCGGACGGAAATGTACTGGCAAATTACGGAAAAAGCAGTGGCAATTAGTGTTTTTCAGCAATGGAAGTAAATTCAAGATATTTGGCTCGGACGGGTAACAGTACGTGAGGAGGAAGTTAAACGCAGCATTAGAAGATAAAAATTTGCGTGCATCTGTAAAGCAAGGTAGGTGCTCCGTAATGTTATGGGGCTGTATGTCTGCGTGTGGTGTCGGAAAACTCCATGATTCTAAAGTTGACAAATTTGGATATTTATTAATTTTAGAAAGTAATGACAAACAAAATGCTGCTAATATTGCACTGTGGCCAACATATTTCTTTCAGCAGGACAAAGTGTTCATCCGTACAGCACATATTATGAAGTTATGGTTGATATAGTGTTCCAAAGCGTCTTGAAACACTGCCACAATCACCCGAAGCCAATTGTATAGAGAACTTTAGGTGGGAACTGGAAAAGCGTGTGAAAAAGCATAATTTTTTTTAATAAAAAAGAGCTCAAGAGTTTCTCCTCTGAATAATAGAAGAAAATCGCGCCTGAATTTACAGTGAAGCTTGTAAGATCCATGTCAGCAAGACTGGAGGTTGTAATTTGTGCTAAAGGTCGTTGCACAAAATTTTGACTTATTATTTTTTTTTTTCGATAAAAATGCCAGTGTACGTTCATTTTTGTGATGACTTGCGATGACATTATAACTTTTATGTATTATTTACTGTTATTTCAAGATATTTTTGTAATTTCTGGGCGAAGAAGGTTTGCATTAATATCTATATTTATTTTGTACAATTCTGCTACATATATTTTTATATGCCATTTTGTATTTTCTTACATAGTGTACTGTCAATTTTGAAAGCCACTGTACCTCTGAATTGTTTCATCTTTTCGTAGATTGTATTTAATTGTGAGTGTTCATTGACTATAAAGAGCTAATAATAAGAAGTAAAGTGAAATGGTGAGATGAAAATACATTGACATGTTTTTCTTTCATTTCTATAGATAATAAAATATTTGTGCAAATGTATATTATAACTTTTTAACATTTTTTAAACCAGGCAGAAGCAATGCGTCAAAGACGTTCAATGTACATCACTAACGAGAATATATACTTCAATTATTTCTCCCGAAGAGAAATGTAGATTGCATTATATTTGCACAAAAACGTATCTTTTAATTCCAAGCACACGTCTGATGAAATTCTATCAAGAAAAAAATTCTGAGGAAACGAAATATTCTTAATTTTAATTGACCATTTCTAAACGTGATCATTTTTATGTATGTCCCTCGAGCAACACTTGCGGTAAATTACATTGTGACCTGTAGGTTTATTAGTGAGTGAAGTGAAGTTAGTTTACAGACTTACGTTGGCCCCCGCTTGCAGCAACTCTCGTACTATGGCGAGCCCAATGTCACCTGCCCCGCCGATCACCAAAGCTACCTGCCCCTGGAAGTCCATGGCCCACCGGTAGCTGGGGTTGGGGAGTCGCAAAGTCTGCGAAATTCAGCGGGTTGGTGAAAAAAAATGCAGATATTGGTTTCGACACCTGCCTGGAATAAATACTCGTTAAAATTCGTTTATCGAAACTTCCTTTTAACGGGCGCCCTTCAGAGTGATTTGTGAGGGGAAACACCGAGTTTCCTCATAACTTTGCAATATATACTTCCTTTGTCGTTTTGACTTTAGTAGAAATAAATGGTGGCGCCGAGACCATGGTGGCGCACGAGAATGCAAAACCACATTCTAAGACAATTTTGGAAAAGAGACCAACGCAAACATCTTGATTTTGATGAAATTTTGTACGTCAATTTCAACACGTTTCAGTGTAAATTTTGTTCAATTGTTGCTTTATAAGTAAAATAGACTTTATCTTGGAAATTGTCTTATAACACTTATTTTCTTTTCGCCAGAACCATTTTTCACTTCACATATTTAAAAAATGCACTACAATTCACACTAGTGGTGCTACAAAATGGCACAGACTTCTCGTACTAGTTACTTTTCTAATTTCTTTAGACTGGTCTAGCTTTTGGGTCTTGCCACATATTCTTGCCAGCTACCATCTGTCGACTCCCAAACCTTATTTTTTTTACTCTTTCTCATTTTTTGGTGTCCTAAAGGCAGAACCGATGTACTATTTTAAGAATACGAAAGAGTAAAACCACATCCTAAATGGCAATTTTCATCAAAAAATATGGGTCCGTCTCTAAAAAAATGGCGTTTAGGAGATACTCTAAATTTAAAGCTCTTTTTCTAAAAAAAATTCGGGTTTTCGAAAAAGTTAATTTAAAGCTTCCACTCAGAAATGCAATAATGCATAAAAAAATCGCGGGAAATATGTATAATAAATGCGTGAGAGATATTTAAAAAAATAACATTTGTCTATTAAAAAAACAACAAAAGAATACATCAAAAAGAGTTTTTTGATACATTAAACAGTACAACTAGCACTATCCGTTGAAGAAAAAAATTAGAGCCATTTTTGAGAAAATGGCGTTTGAGCATTTTTGAAAATGCGGAGTTTGAGCCCATTTTCCCAGAAAACTGTTCAGATTTCGAGGAACTATATCTTACATTATTTAAAACATATGTACTCATAAATATAATAATGTAAATATTACCGACGTGAGAGACAAGTAAAAAATACATTTTTGTAATTTTTGGAGGAAACAGCAACAAAAGAGTAGAGCAATATGTTTTCTTATAGAGTAACCTTATAGCCAGACTCTGATAACGAAAAAGTGAATAAATCCTGTTACTAAATTTAGAAAAATATCCTCTATCAGCGTAGCTATAATCCATATTTTGTTTGTTTTTAATACCGAAAAATCTAAGGACGGCAAAACGTCCGTCTGTCCATGTGTCGGTTCGTCTGTAATCAACGCCAGCGGCTAAACCGTTCAGCTTATTTTCTCCAAAATTGATATTCCTCAATTGATCTGGCAGATGTCGTGGCCCCTGGAATTTGAAGCCTATATTTTAATTTTTTGGTGGGGGTGCATTACATGAAATCCTCGGACATTTTCAAAATTTTCAAAAAAAAGGCTCCACATTTTTTTTTATTAAATTTTGTTTGATCGTGCGAAAGACGGGAAAGAGAATGGTGCAGGTCTCATTTTCGATGATATCCCCAATTTTCCAAAAATTGCAAACCAAGCCTCAAACTTCAAAATCGAAAATTGAAGATTGGCTCAAACAAAGTATGTTGTAAACAATTAGGTCTTTAAGAAATGTCATGTTCAAGTTTTTGAAAATATGAGTAGTTTTTCCATAATGTGCGATTGAAATTTAGGTGACAACTTTTTCTGGAAAACCTCTCCTAATTTTTTCTTTCAATTTTCTCCCCATGTGTAGTAAAAAAGGTAAGAAATACGATACTAGTCTTGTTTTCGAGTATTGTTTGTTATATGTTTTCGAAAATTTCAGAACAGTTTCAAAAATACAAAATTGAAGATATTTTTTGTCTCAGAAAGGTTATGTTGTAGAAAATTAGCTATTAAAATAAATAAATATATAATAAATAAACTAGTGGTGCTGTAGAATGCTGTAGAACTTCTTCGTCCTAGTTAGTTTTCTAATCTCTCTACTCTTGCGACAAGTCTCATTCTCTTCATCACTGCTTACACTTTGTGGCATGAAAACAATATTTTTTCACATTTTCCCAATTCTTTGTCTCCGTAAAACAAAAACCACCATTCACTTATTACTATTATAGAAGTGTTCACCCCCTGTCCTCGCCGGTTGTCTAGGTGGTTAATTTGTTGGGTTCAAATCTTCGGAGGGAAGGTCCGCTGGTTCGAGTCTTGGCTGGGCATTATTATGACTATTCTGTGTTGCCTCAGGAAATAATTCAGGATTCCACACACTTTATTAAAAATCATTTGAAGCAACTGCAATCGCAAACATTATTCATTAAGATAGATAAACTAGAAGTGTCTGTATATGATTTTCGAATTTTTAACTTTTAAACAATTTTTCACATCTCTTCATTGGATTTGTGAAACGTATAAACCATCAAATCAATTGTCTTTCGGCGCTTATGACTATTATATGAAGCCAATTCATTGTTTTACCCGGTGGCCGAAGGGGCTAAATGTCGAGTTCGGTCACAGCGTTTCGTGGAGCAAGGTTGCTCATTCGCGGCTGGCTCTCGAATAATTATTTGTCACAATTTTTGGTTGCTTTTAAGCAGCAAAATTATTTACCGCGTCGAGTTAGGCCTTCTGAGTTGCAATCTTTTTATCCTTAAAGGCCGCTGCCTACTACTAGAACTGAAACACGAAGCTCTTGTAACTATTATAGGAGTATCCCCTTTCCCTTATCCCCTGTATGACCCCGGTGGCCGAAGTTGGTTAAATTATGTGTATTGTCTCAGTCCGAAGCAATATCGGTTTGTTCGAACCTCGCTAAGGGATAATGATTTGTAACAATTCTGTATTGCTTAACAAAACTATTGACAATTGTAGAGACTTTCGAAGAACTTTTAATAACAAGACAATCAATTAAGATAAATAAATTTGGAGTGTGAATGTGGCCAAATGCAATCATTACATATACCAATAAACCGGACATATCTGTACGAGCTTTTGCAATTTCTAACGTTTAAACAGTTTTTCAACTTTATTTTGCGATTTGTGAAAAGTTGTCACGTCAAATCAATTGTTGAGTTTCTGTGCATCTGCATGAACCGATTTAAATAAACTAATGAATCTATCGGCATGAATTTAAATACATTAAGAGCACTAACCATGCGACCAACTTAAATATCCTTAGCGGTTCCGAAATTATTATTACTTTCTCGACTTACGAATTCTTCGTAAGAAGAGAAAGTTATGTAATAGTTCGTCTGAAAACGCCGACATTTCGCAAGAATAAACCTTATTACCAGGTTGTAATGAAAAAGTGGATAAATCCTGTTGCAAAAGGTTAGAAAAAATTCCTCTAACTCGTGGTGTAGTCAGAATTTACGTTTGTTGGTTCTTGATATCGAAAAATCGATTGACGGGAAAGCGTCAGTTTGTCTGTCTGTGTGTGGTTAACGCTGGCGCCTAAACCATTCAGCTGATTTTCTTCAAAATAATATTCCTTTGTTGATCTTTACGAACTGGCGGCTTAGGGAGTTTCTAACAATTATTTTGATTGTTGAAGGCTTTTTTTACATGAATCTGACATTTCCCTTTTTATGCCTTTGTCCGAGTTTGATTCATGCGGCGTTTCTGCAGCATAGTGGTATGAGTGTCGTCTCTTTAACTCTGAGGATCTGAGTTCGAGTCTTGGAGCGAAATATAAATTAGCTGCTTGAGAACACTTTTGCTGGTTATGTAGTAATGTAATGTTACGGGGCGTTTAGAAACAATGCGAGAAAGTATATGCTTCGGTATTACCACTAGTTTAATATTGCAAATATTGTACGCAATTGTTCGAGAAAACTACTAAAATTTACAAAAAATGTACATGACGTTATTGAATGAACTATGAAGAACAAATTTAATTGTATGGAAAGTTGTCTCTTCAATTTTTTATGCCTAGGAAGGCGTCGAAAAAAATCAGGATTTCACAATTTTCGAAATTCAAAGTTAACAGTGAAAATTGGTCCTACACCATCTTTATAAGTGTATTTCACTTTAATCTTTCAAAAAATTTGAAGTCATTTTTTTAAAAAATTGAAAACAACATCCCAGGAACTTCATGTAAAGTGCCTATAAATTTTAAAGAAAGATTTTAAAATTGCAGCGACTTGAGTCGAACCAGATCGGCCGGAGAATATCTTTTTTTTTTACTTTCCCGTGTACGTGTACGGAGTAATATACAGAGTATAGTGAAAGTTACGTAATATAGCGGAAAATCGATTCCGAGATTTTAACGAAAATACATTTGGGATCCTCTGATACCGAAAAAGCACCTAAATCATGTATGGATTTATTCCAAATTGAAGAACCCCTGTCAATCTGTCCTTAGTCGAAGCTCTGCGATTGTGGAAACCCGTCATTAATTTTTGGGGGTACTTTACATGAAGCCCCTGGGCCATTTTCAAATTTTTCTCAAAAAGGCTCCAAATTTGTTTTTTCAATTTCTTCTAAGAATAGAATAACAAACTTATATAGGTGGCATAGGTCCGATTTTTACGGTTAACTTTTATTATCGAAAATTGCAATAGTTTGAATATTGTACGACCTCTTCCTACAACTACAAAATGAAAGACAGAGATTTTCCTTCAAACAAAATTTGTTCTCCATGGTCAGTTGTTTCTTTAAGGTGAAGTACTTTTTATTGAAAAAGTTAGTCGTTTTCGCGCAATATTGCGAGCAATATGTGCAACTTTAAAAAATTGCAAAAACAAGATATTCTCAAAAACGGCTCATCATTTTTCTCTAAATTTTAATAAGGGCAGTGTTAAATGCACTATATAAGATGACGTAAATCCCGTATTGCTCTATTCTTTTGTTTTTTTTCAAAAATGACAAAACTGTAGCTTTTAACTTGTCTCTCACGTCGTTAATATTTATTGTACTGTATATTGCATCACCTGCCGGAATTTGCTGCGCGCGGATTGCGTCATCTGCCGGCGCCCCCCCCCCCAACGAACAGAACAGTTCCGGATTATTCGCGAGTTGCGCAGAAATGTTGCGCACGTTCCCGATGACTCGAGGCGAGCGCCGGCCAGGTATAAATTCGTCGCTGCCGGCAGCCGCGAGTAGTAGTCACTGAGTAGTCAGTCAGTCGGAAGTAAGCAGCCGCGAGTCAGTTAGTGCATATAATCAGTGAACAGCAGTCAGCAGTCTGAAGTCTGCGTGAACCGTGGACCGTGGACAGTGCATCGGACTGTGCGATAGTGTAGAAGAAGTGAACAGAGTAAATAAATAATGAGAAGTGAACTGTGTAAATAAATAATCAAGAGAACAGAGATGTGTGTAAAGAAAATAACAAAGTGAAGAACACAAATACTGTAATATATCTGTAAATAAATCATGTATTTTTAGTGTAGCATTAAGAAACAAATAAACAAGAAAACAAACAAACATTTTTTGTGAAATATTGAGTATGTTTTAATTCGCCATAGGAGAAAAGTTACATTGTATTAGCGGCAATTTACTCAGATTATTATTTTTATGAGTACATGTTCTTTAAATAATGTCATTTAAAGTTCCTTGAAAACTCAACCGTTTTCTGTGAAAAGTAGTTGAACATTTCGCATTTTCAGAAACGCTCAAACACAATTTACTCAAAAAACGGCTCCAATTTTTGTCTTCAAACGTTTCGTACAGATAGTGCTAATTGCACATTTAATTTGACTTTTAGTTCATATTTGGATATTTTTTGTTTTTACTAATATTTGGATATTTTTTGTTTTTACTAATATTTGGGTATTTTTTGTTTTTACTAATATTTGGATATTTTTTGTTTTTACTAATATTTGGATATTTTTTTTGTTTTTACTAATAGTTGAATATTTTTTGTTTTGTTTTCTTTTCTCTTCTTTTCTTTTCTTTTTGTTCTTTTCTTTTTTTCTTTTCTTTTCTTTTCTTTTCTTTTCTTTTCTCTTTTCTTTTCTCTTCTTTTCTCTTTTCTTTTCTCTTATCTTTTCTTTTCTCTTATCTTTTCTTTTCTCTTTTCTTTTCTTTTCTCTTTTCTTTTTTCTTTTCTTTTTTCTTTTCTTTTCTTTTCTTTTTTCTTTTCTTTTTTCTTTTCTTTTTTCTTTTCTTTTTTCTTTTTCTTTTAGGTTTTTATTTTAAGGTTTATTTATTTTTTATTTTATTTTATTTTATTTTATTTTATTTTATTTTATTTTATTTTATTTTATTTTATTTTACAGCATCTTAATACCCACATAACTAAGACCTCCCACATGAAGGCAAGGGATTTCAGAAATATTCATCATCAAAACCACCTTATTTACTTTTTGTGTAGACATTGCAAAATCAACGCCTCGAATTATTTACAGATACAAAAAGAAGTCGATATTTCTTGCCTTGTATATCACAAGAATTTTGTGATATTACTTGTCAAACGACTCTCTTTCCGAGCTTCTACGAGTGCAATTACATGGTCATTTTTTGTTCTACGGCTTAAAAACAGTTTCGTTCGAGTAAATATGAAACAGTGCAATATTTTAAAATTATTTTTATTCGTGATTTAATATCGTATTATTTTGGTCTCAATGCCACACGTCAAGTCTTTCTATTACCTTTTTTTAGACTTGATTGTTTGCATTCCTTCTTCACGATCGCGAATTTTGCAATTTAGTGACTTTTTTGTAATGTAGACTGGATAAAAAAATATCCACGCAGGCTACGATTTGAACCGCTTCTCCCCGCGTTTTGGATCAATCCTTTAACACTGAGCTATTCATTCGCTCTTGCAACACTGCTCTTATAATACGTTTTATATTAACAAAACTTGAAAGCAACATTTACGTTTACAAAAATTAATGTCAACTCAGTTTCAGGAGAAGGAATCACGGAAGTATTTTTCCTCTGTATTACTACTACTATTTAGCTCTCAATGGACGTTGAAGTATTTTATACGCTCTCCAATAAAATAAACTTTACCTTCATAGTTCGATCTAGAGAACGTAATTTCGAAAATAAACGTTAGATGCGGTGTCGGCAAACAGGGACGTCCATCGCCACCAACCTCTTGAGCAAAGGCATTTTGGACATGAAACTTGATGTTTCAAAAAGTGTACTTTTATTTCACGATTAATGACAGTGTAGGCAATTCGGATAACTCGATAAGTGCGCTGAAAAGGGCCGCGTGCCGGCAGGTTGAGCAGATAGACGCATCCCCGAGATCAGTTTGACCCATCCTGATGGTCTTTGAGAACGAGCTTCCAAGTTCACAGATTTGCTGGTTTGGCGATTGAGTTTCTCTGTATAGTGACTCTCTGCCACTTTTATATGGTTAATTTTGCAAAGTGATTAAATTCCGGCCAAAATGAGAGGAAAATAGCCTTAATCGCACCGGATAATTCAATCGCACATTTTTTGATCAATTATAAAGATAATTCCTCCAAAATATAAACAATGATGCTGTGAAATTTATTGGAGTGTTTTTTCACCATATAATGATGTGCTCGAAAAAAGTACTACACGTTTCGTTTATGAAAATTTGCATAGAACGTTTTCGAATTGTGATCAAAGGATCTTCACTTGGAAAACTTGGCAACAGATGTGAGATATCTTAGCTGATATCTTAGTTAAGAACTGTTTGAGGTAAGGTGTTTAAGAAAGTTTCCGTACCTGTTGCGACGTCTGCGCTCCTTGGATGTGCTGGGTGCGTAGTCTTCGAATCCCGACGCAGGCGAATTCGACACAAGCTGAATATCTAGATCTCTTAGATAGAGAAAGACTCTAATGATTAATGGAGAATCCAATCCAAACAAATCACAACCCCTCCAGTTTTAACAATCAGTAACAATAAGATTCTCTCACTAAACAATAATCAACCCATCGAATACCTAGGAGTAAAATAGGATATGAGATTAGCATGAAAGAACCACATAGTTGATATTGCAAATAAAACCTAAGCAGAAATTGTCAAACTTTACCCATTAAGGTGGTTAGAGGGAGATATTGGCTAGTAGATAGAGTCCATATTACGCTCAAAAATACTTATTTGCGAGATAAGTGGGTATGTGAGACATACATAAACAAAATAGGGAGTTTTATTTAGTTATTCGAATTAATTTTGTTTCGTAGATGTAAAATAAATATCTTAATACCACATAAAGAGCTACCGTTGACTAGTTTTTTAACAAGTACCAACAGATCGCGTGGCCATGGAATGAAAAATTGAAACATAAGAACTGGCGAGCAAATGCTCAAAAATAGTATAAATGAAGTTGAGCATTTACTCTCTAGAGTGAGCACTTGCTCCAAAATTTCGGAGGGACCTTAGTAGCAGACGCACGTTTGAAAAGTAAGGTTAAATTGGCCGATTTTTTACGGAGTGTTGATCTGCAGATGCAGCGGACAAAAAAAATTCAAGATAAGGCGAAATTCTCGTGATGCAGACTATTAGAATCTTTGCTGATTCGAAAACGACAATGTATGGTTGGTACGATTTTTATCGGCGTTCGCTTTCAGCCGCGTTTTCAGGCGTATCTTCTATGTTAATTGACCATCGCTCTTTTCTACTTTTTTTCGGGTTACTGTATTTTTCAAACTTTGTTATGTTTCGTTTCGGCCACAGCATACCTGCGGAAGCTGGCTCGTTTCGAAACTAATTTTATATTCGCTTAGCATTTTGGCAAAACTAGCTGGGCCTCTGGCGCCTGTTTTTCGTTACTGCTATTCATATTCGAATTTAAAGAACGAGGCAACAAAACATTGCTCTTTATTCCTCGCAAATGCACGCGACGCGTGTAACGTATGTAACCTCTGTTGCTCAAGAAACCAATTTTTAAATCTCTTTTCCTGTACTATCACATGTTCACAACGAGCAAAACCTCGCGAGACGTGAGTAAGTTCTTAGGAGACATACGAAGTATCTTCTGCTCAGGGCCGCGGACTGGACTAACTTTGTTCCAGAGCAAGTAGTCCTGAGCAAGTACTCTTGAGCAAGTAGTCCTGAGCAAGTAGTCCTGAGCAAGTAGTCCTGAGCAAGTAGTCCTGAGCAAGTACTCCTGAGCAAGTACTCCTGAGCAAGTGCTCCTGAGAAAGTGCTCATTTTTATTCATATTACCCAATGTTTCTAATATTAAGATTAGGATGTTCATATCCTATTTAAGTATGTTATTTTCTTAGAAATTATAATATTATATGTTACTGGGTTCAGTTTCCATACAACGTCCATTTCTAAGAGTTTTCTTAGGTTTCTTAATAAAATAATTTCTATCTAAATGGACGTTTGTAATGGAAATAAACCAGAGCTACATATCATAATAAAATTTAAAAAATATGTCTTCTACAAGATTCTTGAAGCCATATTTCAGTCCCCACTAATAAGGCACCATATAGTTGAGAATATTTTTAAAAAATTTTGGGTCCCGGTATGTTCTAGCTACGAAGAAGGGTTAAAATTAAAAAAGTAGTCCAAACTAAAGAGTTTAAGAAACTAACTAGTATGATAGAGTCTCTACCGTTCTGTAGCACCATTAGTGCATTTAACTGCAAATATAGGAGGGTAAATAAAAAATATAAATCAATGTCAGTAATCAATATCATAGTTTATTTTGACGTTATTATAATGACAAGTAAAATTATAAATCTGGAGTTGGTTTTCAGAAAGAAGAATATTGGTCTAAATATTTGTCCAATTCAGTCCAACTGAATCAAAACTCATTCATACTCACGCTTTTTTGTACGCATTGCATGAAATTTATTATTTTTTAAAATATAAATATATTTTGCCTTTATGATAAAAAACTTGTTAATCGTTATGAAATTGTGATTCGCCACGATTCAGTTCGTCTACATAACGTGAAATCTTATTGTTGTTTTTATCGTTGTGAAAAACATGCCTCTAGATTTAGATCTCGAATGAAATTATTCTGCTTTTCTTGTGCAGGTTAAGATGTTATGTGAATTTTTCGATATTCCGGTACGGCCACCTCAAACGCTGGCTCATAATTTTCACACACCCACACACTCCCACTGGCGCCGTGCTCAATCACGTGCAGGATGCCTTTCGCCACGTTCTCTACTCTGAAACAGAACAGAGACAGACTGAACATTTTCTCTTGTCGATTCTGAACGATTTTCTCCATCAACAGAGGCAAAGTGACCTTGGAACAATTTTCATTGTGTTGATAACTGATTTAGTCAGTTTTTGTTGAATGATGTAAATAAAAAATAATTATGTAGTTTTGTAATGATTAAAGGGGTTATTTCCCAGCATTGATTCCACTTGTTTAAAATGTGTATGCTTTATGCTCTTACTACTGAAATATAACTGATGCTGTCTCTTTGGTGGCTTCTTCAGCGAGTTCGGGAAATAAGAATCGGTTTTTTTCAGGTTCGCACATTGGAGTCATTGTGAAACCTGGACACATGGTGATGACACGAACACCTGTACGTTGCTGGTGATACGGCATCTGAAATATGATGAAATTCATTTCAATTTGTACTGGATGTTTTCAGAGCGGAAAATATTTATAACTGCTGTGGAGCGAATCTTAATTAGTAACAAGTTTGCCTATCGTTTCTTCAGCCTCAAATAACATATTTTAAGTTAGGAATAAGCTTAAATTATAGACAGCTTTTAAAAATATCAAATTAGTCGTATGGTCATTGAAGACGCTGTTTCGATTAACAAAAATACATTCTTTGTTAGAAATATTCGATGGTGTTCGGTTTAAGGTAGTCATATAATTTTGTGTGAAGATGAAATTACGTTGTTATACATAACAAAATCTACGACTCATATTTCGAATGTAAAATTAAAATGTTAAAAAGTAAAAAATTAAGTATTTAAGTGTTTTTAATATTTAAAAAACGTATTTATGCTTTACAGTTACCATACGAAATTTTATTTTCACTTTTCTTATAACTCTCTTTTATAGCTTAACTCTGTTTACCCTAAAACCATCATTTGTTTCCTCACTGATCCTTACTCATACAGCAGGAGGTCATAATCGGACGTTTCTATTCTCTTTGCCATCAATAGGTTATCTCTCAAAGTAAATGTTCATGTTTAATTGAGATAAAATTGAAATATTTCAAGAAACGCCTTTAATTGTTGTATAATGAAAGTACTCTCGACTGCTAACCCCTATTCACTTAACGTTGTGACTACCTTTCGGTTTGCTTGACTGCTCATCTTGGTGTTTAAGGTAACTTTCCGTTGTCCTCATCCGGTTCATCCTCCATGAGCACCCGCTTCCTTCTCAAACATCACTGGCGTGAGCAATGTAGGAGGCATTTGCCGAAGTAGCTCCCATACAAACGTACACACATAACGTACTTCCCTAGCATGTTGGCTTACATTCATAAATTCGGGTGAAACGTGTGAGGTTCTTGAAAATACAAGATCATGGGTATCCAAACTATGAAACGCGAGCCACATACGGCCCTCAGCAAATTGTATAGAGCCGCCTACCCAAAGTATATTCTAATTTAATTTAATTGTGACCCAGTCTGTAACATTTTATTGCAAGATGTAGGAATCTATTTTCCTATTATTTGGTCCACATACCAGCCATTTGAGAGACATTTTACTAATAGGTGAAACAAAAATTGAGCCACAAATTAGCTTACTCTAATAGACTAAAAACAATTTCATTTCTTTCATGGAGTTATATTTTAAAATTATTTATCATTTGTATGCTTTAGAACAGAAATGACTGTAATTATTTTTAAATTTTTAAATTGAAGCTCTTAATAAGTTTGAATTGTTACAAATATTATGTCCGGGATTGTGAGCTCATTTGCGTACATGTGTTGTTAGAATTAACAGTTACACTTTTGAACTGTTTTGTCGTTTTTAATTGAAATTTAATTTAACAAATAATAGGCGATGTATTCCATCTTATAATGAAATTTTATTTTTGGCCCAGAGGCTCTTAAATACTTTCTATCCGCCCCCTGTAGAAGAAAGTTCGGAGACAGCTCGCGCTAACGAGGGTGTTCTTGTTTGAGGGCACCTACCATCGACGCCACTTTTTGATACGGAACTTTATCCGGCGGTGGAGTTGGTGGACGCGCGTCAAAGGGCAAGAGGCGCGTGCGTGCGCCTCGCGAGTTCACGGGACGACGCACCCTACAAGAACTGTTCGTTCCGGAAAAACGAAAATGAATCAGGAGATTATTGAACAACGTCCTATGTAATGGTGTAAACCACAACTCGATACGTCTCATAGGAATGGACACAGAGTTTTGCACAAACGGCTAACGTCAGCGGTTATAATTAAAGTCGAATGTCGAATCTTGTGTGAAGCCCAAAGAAAGAGTTTTTACACAACTCTTAAGCGTTACGCTTATAAGGTGTTAGCATCTTGTAGCAACAGTATTAAGTTACACATAGGTTCTTCGCCTTTTTGATTTCGGTTATCGATTTTTCCATTTTGTATACTGCGGTTCAATTAAGTTATTCCATTATTTACATCGTAATCATTTGTTTCCGGGAAAACAACGCCGAGAAGCGATTGCAAAGGGTAGCTAGGTGTTCACTAGTTTTTATTCTCTGGATGAGTTGTTCCCTGCTACGGAAGAATTAATTAAAGCATGTGTACTAGGGAATATTGATATGGACGATATAGAAAATGCAACTCTGCTCTAAATTTTAGAACCGAATCGGAATTTCTGCCTGAAAATTTTCAGTCAAAAATTTTTTGGAATGTTGAATTGCTTCTTATTTTAAAGGGCTTCCCCGTTTCTGAAACCACAAGAATTTCAATATTCCTCCTCACTCCTTTCCATCCTCGTACAGAATTAAAGCTTCCTTCAATGACATACATAATATTTTGTAGAAAAGTGCTGTCGGCCTTGCTCTGCGTTCTTAGAACTCAATACAGTATATATTTGCTATATAGAACCACAGATCGTCGACGTCGTTGGTGATCGTCGATCACCAACCATCGACCACCAGTCGACCAAATCGTAAGTGGACCGTGCATGGTTATGAAGCTGCGCTTTCCGAACTGGGCCCGGTTAACGCGTGTTTGTTACAGAGACCGTGATTGGTGTTACCGGTGACAAGTGATAATACCTTTTTTTGCTTTTGTTCAAGCATCGATGTGAAAAATCTCTCTATTAAATGGTACAGTAAACTTTCTCATTATCCGCTGTCAGCCGAAAACTAGATCCGAGTTGCATTCCCGGAAGGAGTAACTAACACACCCTTCACACAACTTGATTGACTATAAATTTATTATAATCGATTTTTGCTTTTTCCGATTAAAGGTTTTGATAATGGTAACATTTAGAATGTGTTTTGCGCATTCTGAAGGTTTAATAGCGCGTGCGGACGAAAGGCGGCGCGCCGGCTGCAGGGTACGCGATGAACCGAAGGGAAGAGCTCCGACGGACAGAGTATCGGCTGCGGCGGGAATGTGAGTTACAGGAGTCGTTCTTCGCCCAATGGATATGTGCGGAGGAGTATCGTTAGGAGTAGCAATCCAGCGGTCAGTAATTGAGTTGAGAAAGCGGGTGCGAGATAATCGTTGACTGCCTAAGCTGTGAACGTGTGTCGGGTTCCGTTGATTCTGTCGGAGTGTTGGTAAACCGTGATGCGCTCTAAGATCATCTTCTGGTGAAGACGGCTGTGCTATTGCACTTTGTATTTTTCTCCTAGGTATATTGATGAATGGCGGAAAGTTGTTTTTGATACAATTTGGATTTTGTGAATACTAGTTATTTGTAAACTCTTGTTATTTGCTATTACTTCAGGGACCCTTCCCACGTGCAGCGGGCGTCCGCTGCTGCGGCAAGCGGTGGCGGGCTCTCGCTACGCGAAGCGGAGGAGGGGGCACGCGCCACCGCTAGCAGAACACAACTTTAAAAGGTAGCCTTCCCACTGCGCCACGGCCGCAGCGCAGAGCTGCTGTTTATACCTGCGCTGCCGTGCCGGCTTGGGAAAGCGCCCTTATTCTGAACTTAATACATTGTTGATGGAGCAATGGTAGTCGGAAATACCGTTTTGGAGAAAAGCCGGTTTGGCCTCTAAAATGCCACGCGGTTGTATCCGGAGGTGAAGGGCGGGGCGAGGAGCGGCCTAGCCCCACCATGGCGTGCTTGGCGGCGCAATAGATGGGAGCACATGCCAGCACGCTGAGCCCCAGGATGGAGGCAACGTTGACGACCACCCCGCCAGTGCCGCCCTCGTGCTTGCCCAAGTGCTTCCATCGTCCCTCGAATCGCTCCCATCTGGCGAGTTGCAATTAAAGCTCGCTTAGTTGATGGAGGGTTCACTTTCACGAATTAGTCGAGAACATCGGTGCTGAAATGGACCCGATTCAGGAAAAATGTTTGTTTCTCACCTGTTCTGTTGTTTTTTACTTTCTCGCGCCTAAGAAAGAACTAAGAAGTTCTAAGAACTAAGATGAGAACCAGGTTATGTAATGCTGCGCGAAAAAACGACGAATTTTCAGCAGAAAACTCTTATAACAGGGCCCTGGTAACGAAAATGGGATAAATCTAGCTTCTAAATTTAGAAAAAAAGTCCTCTCATACGTGATGTGCCAGAATCCCCTTTTTATGGGTCTTTGATGCTGAAAAATAAATTGACGGCAAAACATCTGCCCGTCCGTCCGTGAACAATGCCAGCGGCTAAACCGTTCAGCCGACTTCATCCACCATTGATATTCCTTGATTGATCTGGCTAATGTCGCGTCCTTTTGAGTTTGAAAACGACATTTAAATTTTGGGGGTACTTACATAAAGCCGTTGGGACATCTTCTAAATTTCCCAAAAAATAGCGCCATCGATTTTGATTAAATGTTGTTGTTGTTGGATAATCTAAAGGACGTTTAAGAGAATGGCGTAGATCACAATTTGGTTAAAAATTGATTTTTCAAAAATTCAAAATTTTTTTGGCGTCTTCCTACAACTAAATTATTAAAGATAGAAATTTTTACCCTTAACAAAATCTGTTTCTTCAAGATAGATTTTGAAATAAGGTCATGTACAAATTTTTCGAAAATTTGCGTATATTTCGCGTGACATATAGTGCATGGACATGGACCTATGTAAATGTAATGATGGTGCTTATGGTGGTACAGTTATTATTTGTATTATATCTTTAATTAATATTATAATATAGGTGCAGGAAAAAAGGTTGAACAACCCAGCCTACATCGATTTTGCGAAAATGATGAATGTAGTTTCTCCACAATGATCTGTAGGTTTCTTATTAATATTGGTTTACCACTTCAAAAGCAAGTGGCGTTTTGAAAGTTTCTTGACTTTGCGATTGACCTTTTTTCTTTTTACATTACTTAATTTTGAATTCTATTATATCAAATTAACTGATCACCAAAATAACAATTTTCTTTTCTCCCTCACCATTTGCAGTATTCGAAATTCTATAGAATAATCTTATTTCAAGTAGTTTTCACTTATATTGTTAGTCCAAGAATATTCACGAATATTTTCGTGATATATTTGATCATCAGACCTTATTCTTACCGTTAACTTACAATGTCGACGTCTGCTGTTAATTTCCAACTGCGGTCCTCTGCAATGCCCGCACTGTTCACAAAAATATCCAGCTTCTTGAAATGCTGTTTTGTCGTTGAGAATGCAGCTCAAACAGTTTTAAAAGTTACGTGGGAAAATCTGCCTATTTTTTGCGGACAGAACTTATTCTTTAAAAACGTGTTACTGGCATCTGCTCACCATTATATTATACATACCACAGCAGTAATATTCTCGATCCGATGTTCGAATTCCAAAAAAAGATTATGAGAATGAGTAAAGTAAATCTATCGTTAGAGGTTGTGTCATAGAAAACTTCTAGGTACTTGATATCTATTGGCCAAATGTCGAAGTCGTTCGAATGACTAGTAAATTTATTATGATTTAAGGAACCGCTTTTAATATATATGAGCTTCAGTTTTTACTTTCTTGTAGATAGAGAGTAATATTAATATAGGCACAGTTATGTTATGTTGAGGACAATTGATTTCGACATTTCGACGGAAATACACGATTTGGGGTCCCCGACACCAAAAACGTTGTTTCTTAACGTCCGACCGTGAACACTAGCGCCTAAACAATTCAGATTTTTTCAAATAAAATTTGTTCTACACAATTGTATAAATAACTAATGTGTATAAAATTACAAGCTTTCCTTTTGTGTCTGACCAATACAACACAAAAGAAGTAAACTATGAACGACGTTAAAAGAAGCATTTATCAAAGAACGATCTTGGAATCAATGATCCTAAGCGAGCTCTTCTTTTTACTCACGAGGAAAACCGTACGGTAAGATGCAATCGGGATATGCATTTTCGGGGAGATGGCAAAAGGTGTAAGAAAAGTTGACGGTGGGGAGCAATTGGGAGACGTCCTGACATAGGGCTCGGCCATGGGTTTAGTTCTTCCGTAATCCCCCCTTTTACATTGGCTTTGTTCAAGATTATTGATTTACTGCCGTGAAATCTCTGAGGAATAAAGAGAGAGAGAAAGAAAGAAAGAAAAAAGAAAAAGGAAAGACCACTAAGAGAAAGAGACATATCAAGAAAAGAAACTAATGATATCCTCATTTTTATAGTTTTGTTTTTCTTAACTTGTTTCGCTAACTGTTTGCTTTGATAAACTTTATGTGAACAACAAATGTGTTAATTTTTTTCAGAATACGTGTTTAGATTTCAATTAATTATACGCATTGGAGATATAAGTGTGCATTAATTATAGTTTCATTAATTAATTTGACATTTATAAGCCACGGACGTCTTTTTATGCATAATTCGAATTTTAATACCTGGAAAATGTCGAAGGTTTTTTGTATTATCCACAGGTTCGAAATGTCAGTTTCCACTGTACTTCTAAACATTCCATCAGGTATCAAGAATAGGGACATTGTACGTACATATCTCCCCAATAAGCACTCGTCTATTGCAGAAGTATCGTGGGTCCTTTGAGGAAGCGAAGTATCGTGGGATATGAGGAAACTTTTTAAAGCATCAGAGATAATATTTAATTATGCTAAACTTTCGACATTTAAAATCATGGATTCCTAAAGATATTCGTTGAATGTTATAAGAGGCATAATATTTTCAAATTTTGCCATTCTAAACTGGGGAGCATTCCTCAATGTCCCAAGAGAGAAAAACGCGAATTAACAATTTTTCAACAATTAACAATTGTAATAACATTTCCATAATATGCGCTAGAGCGCCCGGGAAGGGGTGCAAATTGTATCTGAGTTGGATATTTCGATCTAGCAGTTTCGACAGGAGTTGCAAAATTGATTTCTAAAACTTACTATAATTGTTGCTGAAGTGCTAAATATTTACTGGCCTATTGACACTAATACTCGGCCGAAAACATCCGCTCAGAAATATTTTCCCCTTATGATGTTCTTGCAAGCAAAATTGTCTGTCGACAGCGAGAGATGGCGGTGTTTCCGACGCTTACGTAAACAAACGACAGCGAGGGACAGTGTCTTTCCCGCGCCATGGGATTTTGCGCCAATCACATTGACACTAAGGGTGGATTTCTAAGTCGTGGTCTGCGCCACGGTTTTGCAACCGTGGCTTTGAAGCAATGGCTTGAACCGTGGCGCGAATCAGATTGATAAAACGAAGATTCAACGACGTCTAGTGAGGTCGCGGTCTCAAGCCGGGGCTTTGGAAAATCGGTTTGGCCTCATTGCCGTGGCGTGTGCGAACGACGTTCGTCGTGTGTTTTTGGAGAAGAAACTGACTAGTTAGTGGATATGTTTGATAGCGTAGGTACGAATTGTATTTTCATTCTTATTTTGCACGATTTTTTAATGAACGACGAATTATACTTTGTAATTATTATAAAAGCCATGTTAAAATTTCGTTTCATATGAATACAGATGGCTCGGTTTGAAAAAGAAGGGGGGGAACCTGGCATAAATTTGTCAGAAATAACCGGTTTTAGGGATGAAGTGGTACTGTTCTCAAATAATTAGTGAGAGGAGGCAAGCTTAGACGAAAATATGCGAGGGATTCACGGCATCGAATCCCAGGAAACCTACGTGAGATTAGACAACTACAAGGTACGTTTTTTGTGGCCAAATAGCGTGCTTTGTTAAAAAATAAGCCTCTAGTTTTCTTAAAAAATAAATACCTACCGACATATATCAGGATTAGCTGAAAACGTGATTTTATGAGTAAACATTTAAATATAGATATTGTATATTCATTAAAACAATGTCCCTCTTGTAGTTCTGTTATTTTGTAACAGAGACATATTTATCTTTTGCATGTGATGTAATTGGTTTAGAGTAATAGGAATCAATTGGTCCGAAGAATAAGATTTTTTTAAAAATATAATTAAAAATACTATAAACAGAAACAGATTGAAATGTTTCCTAGAAATATTTGAATAATTGTTAAAATTAGTGCAATTTTTTATAACATCTACTTCAAACTAATTTCTTTTTTACAGGGCTATGAATTTTCCTTCTGAGTTAATACAAGATAATGGATACAGTTTCGTATAATTCGAGATTTTCCTGTTAGATTTGACAAATCTTAAGAGATATTATTGTATTATAAAAGGATAGTAGTACATGTTAGAATTATATGTTTTTCAAACAGTGGTGCAGTAAGAGAATTGCCAATTAAAATATAATAAACATAATAATTTATGTTAAGTTAATATCTGCAAGTTGCATTTGGTTATTGCTAATAAATACTTGCAATTTTCATGTTTTTTTTACAAAATTGTTTATGAATTAATATTTTTGTGTATGCCTCTGAAAGTGTTTGAAAGTAAGGAGAAAAAAGGATTTAATAACAAAGAATGGTGCTACCAGTTCTTCTGTCATAATTTCTACCGCAAAAACGTAAATGGATAATTGTTTATTACTAACATGTTTGAATTAGTACTATTCTGATGAGTTATTTGCTTGCAGCGCCACAATAGTTTATGCATGTGGTTTAGTTTTATAGGAAGTAATTAGCAGTTTTCTTAAAATCAAAGATGAATGGCCTTGATAAAAATTGAATTATCAAATTTTAATTTTCCTTTTTTCTCAGAAAAAGAAATTGCGAAAAGAAATTAGTGGAGAAGGCAAGTCACGGTAAAATGATAGAACATGCAAAAAGAAAGAGAATAAAGAAAAAACAGATCTGCTCGAAAATACACTCCAAACCTTTATAACATAACAAGTTGTAAAACAATTGTAATTTTGGATTTCATAATAAATAATTATGAAAAATGGGTTTGGTTGACGAGTAAATCTGATCTCTTCCGTCATGTGATTGAGGTTAGGGCGCAAAATTTCAGTCATATCGTTTCTGTCGAAAAGCTGCAGTCCAGCAACACTCTTGTTATCGAATTCAGAGTCCTGAGCTGATGAACATTTGCTCGAAATTCTTCCATAGTCTAAAGAATCCATTTTGTACTATTTGAATGAATGAGACATGGCTTTAAACCACCCTTCGTCGAAGACTGGAATTTTTCAAGCCGAGACCTCGAAAATTCGACAAAGCCGCGTCTTATCAAGCGAAACTTCGAATTCTCAAAGAAACCGTGGCTTAGGCGTCGTCTTAGAAATCGACTCTAAGATTATAACTGCCAGCGATTGGTCAACTCGTCCCTGCCCTGATCGAATGGTGTCCAAGTTTATCTGCACGGCTGGAAAGATAGAATTTCGAACTAATTTTGTTTGTTCGGCCGGCCGGCCGGCTGCAGGCGCCAACGCACCTTCCACCTGCTCGTCGTCGCGCACGTTGTCGCGCACAAAGGCTGCGCGCGCAGAGCCGAACTGCGCCTGCAGCTGCTGCGCGGCGGCCTCCCCCGCCGCCGCCGCCGCCACGTCGCCCAAGGCCTCCTGCGCAAACACACTAACTGCGATAAAAAATAAATCGATCCGCAAAGGAAGAATTCGTCGTTGATACAATTGTCTGTCATTTGCTTTGATGGGCACTATTGGGTGTTAATGGGAATGCTGGCTGGAGATGTGAGTTGTTGCCTTGTGAGTTCAAGATTCTTCTTTGTCTTGATTCATCACGTTTGGAAATAAATCTTGTTTCGTAGCTTGAATTGTGTGATTTTTAGAAATACATTCGTGTAATAGAACAGTGTTTGAAATACGCAATGTATGAAATTAAATACATTTTCCAATATACATATATGTGGACATATATGAAGGCAACTACTACTCTGTTAAAACACAGTGGCTATGAAAGTAGTCTCCTGTTCTCGAAAGTTCTACTTTAAGGGTAATATTTCTGAGCGGATGTGTTTGGTCAAGTATTGCTGTCAATAGATCAGTTAATATTTAGCACCAACAACCATTAATGCTAACTTATACAATTAATTTACAACTCCTGTAGAAACTGCTATTTGAAACAATTGGCTACAATTTTGCGCCCCAGCCGTTCTAGCGTATATTTATAGGAATTGTTTATGAAATTGTTAATTGTACCTCATACTATCAATACAGCTATTCCTTCATACGTTAGCTGCACCGTCAGGAAACAATTCATGATTTATCAGTTTCTATGTTTTGTGGGAAGTAAACCATGTACGTTACATTTTTTATAAAGTATCTAAAGCATTTGGAGATATTCGAAAATTTTCAGCGTTAAAATGTGTGAATCATTAGCAAGAGCAATGGGTCGGTACTCAAGGAGATACAACTATACCTCCCGGCATTCTGGACAAAATCATTTTTTGTTATGAAATTTAAAATTTTCAATTTTTAATGTACTGTAAATAAACGAAAATCATTAAAGGTCTCGAAATTACAAACTTTATCTGTCAACCGAAAGAAGTTTAAAGGCTTTAAATAACTCCACAGAAATGACGCCGCTGAGCGACCAAATGCATTTGTTGACATTCGGTAGGTTAGTTGAAGCGCCACACCAAAATATAATCCCCAGTCGACGTCGACCGCCCAGGCGAACGCATCGTGTCGAGGCAGCTCTTATCTTACGCTGAGGGCAACGAGTGACTTATAGTGTCTCGTCGTGACAAACAGCTCTTACCACAACTAGCTAAGAAAAGGCTAATGGCCCTAGGCCATTAATCCAGGACACAGGGCAGGCAATATCTGACGCCCTGCCCCGCATCGTCCCAACGGCCGACAACGGTGGCGTTTTCACCAGTGTAGCCGAATACAGCAAGACGGCGAGGCCTGCTACAGTGCCTCGCAGTCGACGCCAGTTTCCAACCAGCACCGCAGGACTAAGCAACGACCCGCCTCGCTACCTCAGCCAGATACTACGTGGTCGTCACCCACGTCCCACCATCACTAACCTGCTCAGGCGCAGCCCAAATAAGGTCAGTCAGTGATAGTGAAAGTGATTCCGAGAGTAAGAAAATGAATAGGACCAGTTAACAACACGAGCTGCAAAATTCAAAAAAAACCCACTGAGTTTCAATTTTACAAATGTAGCTATACGGAAACAGATACTCTGAGCTCGCGCGAAAAAGTGGACGAGCGCGAGGACAACATAGGTTTTTACCTCATAAAAATGAACAAAATAATGACCACACCAATTTAAATATAAATACCACCCATCTTTGTAGGCCCATATCAGAATGTTGCAGAATTTAATAGAGAACTCAAGATTTCAATTAACAATCCAGTTACTTCCAAATCCCTTGTCAATTAACAAAATCAAAGTGCCTTTTTGGAAAACTATCTGCGGACTTAGGCAGGCAATAAAATAATACTAATAAGCATAACAGAAATTTCCACACGTATAAAGACCCAGCAAACAAAAAATTTTTCCTATTTGTCTTAAGATCTTCATTCCCATCTATTACTTGTTAGGAGAAATATTTCAAGACCTCAAGCGGAAAGTGACCATCGCTTATTAGTGTAACTAGGACTGTATAAAGACAACAGGCCCCATCCGGGTAGTGGCAGCCGAGTTCGACGCGTTAGCCAAAACATAGACAGTTATTAAAAATTAATCAAATTTGCAACCTGATTGTCAAGCCAGAAAAAAGGCGCAAAGCCAAAGGTCATATCCAGTGCCATTCCGATGTATAGATTTCGGGCATACCAGAAACAACTGCAATCCACAAATATTAGCATGCATTTATTGTGCTAAAGCGATCATTATTCAGTACAATTGCCCCAAAACCAGAAAACCCTCCTATTGCAAAAACTGGAAACGCGTCCGCCAGTGCGCAGACGCGAGATCAGCTGAATGTTCTTACTAACAAAACAGCTCCCGTAGAATATACCCCCTCCCTCCCCCCCCCCAAAAAAAATTGACCAGAAAAGGGACGTTTCAGTGTACGAAACCCACAAATGTTAATCAGCTCAATCTAAACTCCCAAAACTACCCTAACTCTACTTAACACTAGCAACATTCAAATTTTACCCACGTAACAAATCATCAAATAGAAACCATAACAGGAATCAAACAAACCACAAACCAAAAACAATGATTAATAGCAACACATATTAATACTCAACCCTCATCCCGGTTCCCCCCCCACCATCCTCCCCACATTGATCAACTCACATGCCCATTCATTCATGCACACAATTATAAAACTAATTTTTCAACATACATAATCAATCTAATCTAATTACTATTGTCCCAACAATCGTCAATAATATACAAAGTTCACTCACGTTGCATTTCAATAGGTATCAGGGCTATCACAGCTCCATAATTAAAATTAACCTAACTAAACTGCGAATGCCAATGCCATAACAACAAAAAAACAAAATTGATGCTACTCCTCAAAGATAAAGAATCAAAATAGCGTGTAATAACGCGAAACACACCTCAAATCCCCACCACTACGTTCAAATGATGCACCGTTACAATCTAGTCAGAATAACAGACCGAATAAAATGTGTCCTCATCCTTCTGGATAAATCATGCCCGTACACCAAAGCAAACCCTTACCAAACACTCCAGAAGATTACGATTTAAAAACAGTCGGATTTTAAAACAATACCTTCTTAACAAAGAGTATTTACCATTATAAACAGCATACAAGTCTCCAAATAAAAAAATTCAAAAAAACACTAACATCGCAAGCGCATATTTCAACTCTTCAAATCATCTCACTACTTACTATTAGGGCAGATTTGAACTCAAAACACCAACTGGGGATGCAGATCACAAAACAAGCGCAGGCAAACATTTACAAACCATAATAAACGAACTCAAAAAATTACACATATTAACTCCTACAGAACCAACCTACTACTCAACGACTCAAATAAACACCCAGAACATTAACTTGCAATCACAACGATCAGGAAACTACATTTTATTCCACCTGGCTACACGAAACTTGATTCTGATCACCTCCCTGTAATAATTATCTACTCAGCAACAACCGCCCCCCCCACAACACACACATTAAATACTAATTAACATAAACGGGAAAGAATTGGCAGAAAAAACATAATTATCAGAACCCCCAAATTTCAGGAAGGTTAAAAACGCCTTTAGCTATAGAAAGTTCAATAGCATTATTTAAACACAATATAGTAAACCAGTGTTATCGTTCAGCAACAAACGAGTAACATAGCACATAATAAACCAACGCCCACATACAAAATTGCCAGCTCCCATAATACACCATAATAAAAACCAGA